GGAATAATCATTTGAGAATTAAAATGGAATATACAAAGATAATTTAGAATTTTTTTAGACCATTGAAAAATTATCAATTGAGACTAATAAAAATGGGATGATTCTCTTAATTCAAACCCAAAATTTTAAAAATACTCTGTAAAAAAGACAGAAGTCTAATTCTTAAAGCACTCGAATTGATTTAATAGAGTTATATATTTATTTTATCTATATATATATACGTAAATTGCAATAATTTACTCAACAATCAAGAATTTTTCTAATGATATTTTTTAGTGAAAGGCTTAATATTTATTTTGAAAATCTTTTGTAACTTAGCGAGGAATTGATTATAATAAAGAAATTGTTTGTATAAATGTCCCCGTATATTTTATAGAATATGGTAGCTATATTTTTCTCTTTTTTGTTTCTTTCAAAAATTAGTGTTCAAAAAATAATTCATTGGAATCCTGTAATAGTGGGAATGGTTAATAATAATATGCATGAAAACGGTTTACTGTTAATTAGTTTTTTTAAAAAGACAATTACAATTGAACTTTCTTCTACGATTATTATTGTAATCAGAGAATTATATTTGAGTTTTTTTGGATTAATGAACTAAATGAACCTATTTTTTTCAAGTAATTTTAAAGAAATCAATTTAAGATTATAAACTGATTTTATATAATGATTGCTTTAATGAGGAGAATAGTGCTGAGAACTCAAATAATTCTCTCTTAACATCTAAATAATTAATTATGTAGTACTACCAAATTATTGAAACTAATTGAAAAACCATTCAAACAGGAAATTCAATAATTATATAATAAATTTGCATAGCAATTAATTATGTAAAAAGTATAGATTATTTTTATTAATTCAGAACGATTATGGTTTTGGTGGGGATGAAAAAGTGAAGAAAATTGATAATGAACATTATGATGAGACGATTGAATTGGAAGATGGAGAAATTGGTAGTGGTGAAGAAGATGAAGATTAATGTAACGTTTTTACCTACTATTCTATTAGATTAAGCTGGTGCTAGAGGAGCCCAATAAGCTGAACAAAGTGTAGGGTTTTAAGAAGGAAAGGTTCCTTTACCTGCTGGTGCTTACAATTCAAATGATTATTCAAATTTATAAGTAGGTGCAGAAGTCAAATAATTGTTTGAGGTATTTCTATTTTTAATTTAAGTTACAATATATGTCTGCATCAAAATAAAATTCTATATTTCATCTATACAAAGCTCCTTAAATGGTTTTGGATGCAAAATTAAAACCATTTATTCCAGATTATGTAACTGCTATAGGTGAAGTTGATGCGCACATAAAAATACCAAGACCTGATGGCTAACCTGAGACACTTGGTTTGTTACATTAGTAATCTATCTATATAATTTTAAGGATGAACCTACTCTTAATCAATCTAAAAAGGCTAAATTAGATTTATTGATGAGAGAATATGTAAAGGTAGCAAATAGGGGCAAAAATACTACTATCCATGCTATTGAAAATGCTGATAAAAATCCAAAAGAAATTACAGCCTGTATTAATGATGTGGCAGAAATACATAAAAAAAAGTCACCTCCATCTTGTTTCATATTCTAAAATTATGCCTGATATTGAAGAATTAATGTAAGTCTGGCCTGAAGAAATCAAAGACTAATTCTAAAGCAATTAATTACCAGGTGATAATATTGATGTGGGTTTATAAGAATATTGTTAATTCTCATGCAATTTGTTAGATATTCCTGCTCATTCAATTAATAATAATAGAAATATCATCGAGTCTTTGCATGTTTTATTTACATTGTTTTCGGAATTCAAAACAAATTAACATTTTAGATAAAACAATGATGAAATTTAATGAATTTTCAATATTAAAACATTATTTTCATATTAATCTTTCTATTCAGATTTAATTAATTTGAAAATATCTATATTCATTATTAACAAAGAAAAACTATAAATTTTAAATTCTAATTAATATTAAAATTGTTTGTTATTTGATAAATTCTTTTACATTTTAGAAAAAATGACAAAATTTCAATGATTAAAAAAAACAAGTTGAGATAAAAATCAAACTTTGTAAAATCAACTTTTCTAGTAATTGGAATGATTATTATGAAAAATTAAAGAATTACCATTAAATATTTCATTTATTACTAATAAGAAAAAAAATGATTATAACAATAATTTGGAATAAATTTTTAAATTTATTAATTAATCAAACTCATACATAAATGAATTCTTGCTTTATCTAAATTTGGATATATAAATTCAGAAATTTAGTTAAAAAAAGAATTGCTTTTCTCAAAATCATTAAATTAATAACAGTTAGATTTAATATTGATATATAAATATCTCTAAGTAAATTTACTTAAAACATGGAATTTTGACAAAGGATTATATTATAGAAGAAAACTAAGCAAATTTAACAAGGAATGATAATTAATAAGTTAATTAGTAGATTAATTAAAATCTGATTAAAGGGAAAAAATTTAAAAAAAGGTTTCATTTCTTCACTTATTTCTTAGTAGATCAATTACATAATTATATATTATGTATAAAGAGGGAAAATGTTAATAAGAATTAGCAGCCTCTAATTATTCATACTGGATGGTTTATAATCAAAATAAGGTCTATATTTGTAAAGGTAATTGAATTTTTCTTCAATTTAAAAGCCATTACTTAAAAATTACATAATTTTATCAATAAATACACTGAGGCTATTAGTTGTTTGACATAGCCTTTTAAATCAATCCATTCAATAATATTGCATAAAATAATCAAAGATCTTCAATTATCATTTTGCAGTAACGACATTTTCTTTAAGGTTTATTAAGTACAAAATATAAATTTGCTGATACTTTTGTGTTATAGATATCTCATTAAGTATCAGTTCAAATAATAAGTAACCATATTCTAATAAAGGATATAATTTAAATAAAAATAGGTTTTACCTTATGGAATTTGCAAAGGTACTAAGAAGATTTTGTTACTTACGAAAAAGCGATAGAGCGCATAAAAATAAAAGCATTTCTAAAATTTAAACTATTTAATAGGCCCATATTATAAAATAATGGTGTTCCATTTCTAATACTAAAATAACAGAAATATGCCTACGCAATTTAATGTTTTAACAATGCATTATTCTAAAAAATAGGGAAGATGAGGCTTATGAAAACACGAAAGATTGTAAACTTTCTCCCTAATTATTTTCAACAAAATACAAAATAAGCAATTTTCATAAAAATATTGAAGTGCAGGAATTTTTTATTAAGCAATCTTTCTTAAAATAGATACTATTATATTATACCTCATAGTATTTTATGTTCTTATATTTAAGCTGGCTCATTATACACATTTTTTAAAGTGTGTTTTTGAAAAAGGAAGCAAAATAATATTATTATGAAGCATTAAATATAGGAAAATCTAAATTCAGAGTAAGAATATATTCTATGATATGTATTTTATAGTAAATGTTTATAAATAGTATTCTAATGCTTATTGAGTTTCATTCATGAATTATGAATTGTACTTATCAAGTAAAATTTTGATCATTAATAGGCATTCACCTAAGATTAATTTAATTATCTTACATAGAGAATAAAATAATGGAGTACAAATTCATTTTGTAATAGCATTTAAAATTCAAATAATTTTAATTAATTACATTTGAATAACCAAAATAAGGAATAGCAGAAAAAATAAAAAAATGTTAAAAAAATGAGTATTCTTAGAATATATAACAAAAATTTTTATTATGAATCTTTAATAAAGTATTTTATTATTAATAATGTTAATACTATAAAACATTTATTAAATAAATAATAAAACAAAATATACACTCATTTGGGATTGAACTCAAGATTTTTAATTTGTGGTGATTCATTAAGATAGGAAAGTTATTAACATGTTTATACCGGTGTTGATTTAATATTTAAATTTTGAATTATATGCCAGGCCTTTTGAATAAAGTAACATCCCCATTACGTGGTGGTGGTTGTGGATCTTTGAAAACATTTCCCAACACAGAAATAGTGTTAAAGTCTGATATTTAAGACATAGAAAATTTCATTTCTAGATTTGATTCTTTTGTCTAAACGATTTCCACTAAATCAGCTGTTGCAGCTAATTAAACAGAAGCTTAAGAAATAATGATAGCTATATAATGGTTTATTTTTTAAGAGGAAAACATTTATAAACTCATTAAGAATGCCTAAAAAGTCTTGAAATCATACAATTTAATTATAAATGGAATCCGAAAATTATTAGAAAGTTGTTTGATCTATGTCAGAACGGATTCATTTATATGTTTATTCATCTTAAAGATTACAGCATCTCTATCTAAGGTGATATTTAGTTTTCATATAAGTAATGATTAGAGATAATTGAACTGCGATGCAAAATAGAAATTTTTAGATATTTGCGATGAATTAAAATAATAAATGGAAATAGAGAAGAATGATTTCATTCAAAATTAATTGGAACTTTACCTTTTCCTAACAAAAACTTCATTTCAAATGGCCCCAAATGATGATAAAGAACGGAATGATATTTTAAAAGGTTTTTTAAATGGCATTTTTGAATCCATAATTGATATGAAACCTAATGCTGAATTATTGATATCATTGTTTCGTGGAGTCTACATGCTTTACAATCAGTATGTGAATTAAAAAAATAGATAATAATATGAAGTTTATTTTTCAATAGATATGTTGTAATGGGAAATCATATATAACTTTAAAAATGCTGGCTAAAAGAATTTGGATGAAATACTCTTACAAATAGAGGAAACACATGAAAAAATTGTGAAAAATTCAAGGAATTGGGAAAACCATTATTTGTGGATTTAAATGATTGGAACAATCTTATTATATAATCCTCTTAT